AAGGTTTTGCCTTCAACATCCAAGATTTGATCATCCATATGGACTAATCTGCTAGTAATACTTTCGAGTGAAGTTTTGATTTCCTGTATTGCAGCCTTCATCTCTAACAGCTCCATTTTGATTCTTTTTTATGGTGTGTATTTCTTCTTTCAGATTATGTAAGAACTTCCTCACCTCCTGGAACCTGTTGTGTCTTTTCTCCTGCATCTTCTGGAGTTCACTGCATTTCTTGCATCTCGTTTAGTTCTGTCACTATGAATATTCTGAATTCTCTATCAGACATTTCCACGAGTTCTACTGTACTGTCTGAGGATGATGAAGGATTGTTCTTTTCCCTGAGGGAAGAGAGATTTTCTTGGTTTCTCACATTTCTTGTACCTCTGTGGTGGTTTATGAGAAAATCTCTCCTATACTTGTCTGAGTGTTTTAAGAGTCTAGAAGATGAGGTTTAGAGCATAGTTTTAGTTGTCTTGGTCCCTGAACACACCAGGACACAGATAAGATTTAAAATGGTTTCTTGTCTGCGTGTTTCCCACATCATTGTTTTCTTGAGAGGATTCACAGTTTATTTTCTCCATAATGCTGGAAGTACCTGAATAAAGCCTACCTGACCAGTCAGGGATACTGGACAAAAAATGATTGATCTGGGAAAAGTTATTTACCAGGTAAATAATGAAGTGCCTTCCTGCCCTGAGATGGTATGGATATAGACTCCTTATACACGAATGGATATATTCCTGAAATGCTAACATTAATAACATATTTCTGAAACTAGGTCATTGGTATGTTATATAATTTGATTGCATATTTTAATATGGGAAACACTGGAGTTTGAGATGTAATAAAAATCAGGGACCAGCAGTTAGTGTAATGGCTATGTCGCTAGACTCCCATGTAGTCGACAATGGTTCACGTCCCGGACCCGGTGGCTTAAAACTCATGCCGGAAGCATGTGCGTGCGTGCCCAAGATCCCGAGAGGAGAATGGAGGAGAAGGGATTGCAGTGTGGTCATCCCCCCCTGGGGGGTGATTTCTTGCTTTCTGTCTCTCTGTCTCTCTCTGTCTGGCGAGCGTACACGCCCTATCGCAAAAACCTCTCAAAAAAAAAAAAGTAATAAAAATCACATGAACTAAACAGATTTTAAAAAATAGTGATATCCCAATAAATTATGAATATTCCAAAAAGTTACAAATTTAGTTACTGTCTTAGTCTGTTCTTGGTACTATAACAAAATACCTGATACCAGGTAATTTATAAAAAATCAGAAATTTTTTTTGTCTGTTTTGAAAGTTGTACATCCAAGACACTGATAGAAGCCAATTTCTATTTCCAAGGTTGCATCCTGATATTTTGTCCTCTAAGGAGAAAAACGCTGCGAACTTGCATGGTGACAAGGATGTAAGGGACCTTTTATAAGGTTATGAGACCCAGGGCTATCAAGTGGCATGGTGGTTAAGGTGCTGGGCTCCCACATGGCCAACTGCAGTTCGAGTTCCAGACCTGGCAGCTTGCTTTCTCACTTTCCATTTCTCTCTCTCTGTCTCTCTCTGCTCGAATTAAAAAAAAAATCAAAATAAATTAAATTGAATAAATAATTTAAAAAAATAAGGTTACTAAACCCATTCAGTTTTTTTTTTTAAGTTTTTTTGACAGAGGACGTGTGCACTAGCTGCTGAAAGAGCAAGACAGAGACAGAGAGAAGGAATATGAGACATCACATTCCAGGGGGATGGAATCCATTCTCTGTCATTTTCCTCTCGAGATTTTGGGCATGCATGTACACACACTTGGTGTGATTTTCAAACCACCAGCCCGGGACTCAAACCATGGTCAGCCATGTGGCAGTCTAGTTCCTTAACCACCACACTATTTGCTGGCTCACCCATTCACTTCTTAAAGGCCTCATCACTTAATACTAAACTTAAGTTTCAATCATCACATTAAGATCAAGGCAGCTATTATCCTAAAGTTTCATGTATTTTCCCAAGAATTTCACTGGCCTGAGGCAAGACTCAGAAGTGGAAATGTGTGACACTACTAAGAGGGCACATGAGACCCAGCTTTCCTGAGTTCAGGTTCTGGCTGGTCACTTAGTCCCTACGTGCTTTGGACAAAGAGTAATTTGACCTCTTCTTTCTTTTTAAGGGAGGGTCTCACCATGTTGTGATCCTACTGCCTCTGCCTCCCAAGTAGCTAGGATTAGAGGTGCGGTGACTTTTAAGGGTGGTCAGTGGTCCAACTTGGGCCTCCCGTGAGGCAGCCTGTGGAACACAACACCTTAGTAGCACACACCACTACAGACCAGCATTGAGTCCAACCTCACCTCTTTTGATTCACTGGCCCTGTTAGTAAAACAGGATGGCATAATAACAGGACCGGTCTGAATAGCGTTGTTACAAAGATTCAGCAAGTTAATGCATGTAAAGAATTTAGAACAAGGTCTAGCACTCCATAAATATTATTTATACATTAAGATATAGCTTAATCTCTAAGGTCAACAATTTACTTTATAACTCCAGTCTTCGTTCGGTATTCTACCTGAAGGGCTCTCGGTGACATCTTTTTATTACATATACATGCCAAATCTGTTAGGAACACAGGTGAATGGCAATTCCGCAAGAGGAAGAGCATCTAGTACTCCAAAGGGTATTCAAGTGAGAGAAAAAACAGCACATAGGGATGCATCAGATACAGAACTGGAGAGCAGATTTGAGAGTTTTTTTTTGTTTGTTTTTGTTTTTTTGAGAGAAACCTTTTTGCTATTGAGTGCATGCAATTGCCAGAGAGACAGAAAGCAAGAAATCACACACACACCCCAGGGGAGTTGACCATCTCACATCCCTTCAACTTCATTCTCCTCTAGAGAGCTTAGGCACACACACACACGCGTCCAGTGTTAGTTTTAAGCTGCCGGGTCTGGGACTCAAACCCAGTCCACTATGTGGGAGTCCAGTGACATACCCATTATGCCATCTGATCATCCCAATCGGCTCTGTTTTTATCTATGGTTTGCAATAGAGGGAAATGAGGCAGCCTATCGTAAATATTCTCATGATTCTCTTTTTAAAAAAATGTTCATGCAGGCCAGCAGGTAGCATGGTGGTTAAGGTGCTGGATTCCCACATAGCCACCATGAGTTCAAGTCCCAGACCTAGTGGCTCGAAAACCACGTAGCATGCCTAGAATTCTGAGAGAATAAAGTGATTGCAACGTGGCCATCCCCCCAGGGGCGTGATTTCTCACTTTTCCCTCTCTCTGTCTCTGTCTGTCTCTCTCCAGTGAATGTACACTCTCTAGCAAAAACCTAAAAACAAAACAAAACAAAAAAGAACAACAAAAGTTCCTTCCTTTCTTCCTTTCCTCCTTCCCTCCCTCCCCACTTCCTTTCTTTCTTACTTTCTTTTTTCTTTGTCTTCCATGAGAGAGACGGCACCCCAAACCAGGGATCAGCCAGCCCGATCATGGGCACACACATGCCCGGCGTACTCAGAGAGCTCTCTAGACGTGAACCTAGAACCCCTCCCCTTGGAACTGCTGGAGAGGGCATCATAGTTTACTGTCGGGCCACCATCTGGCCTCTCGTGTTCTTAGCTTCCGACACTAACTTCCACTCGGTTGGCTCCCGTCTGTCTCTAGAAGTCACACTACTGTATTTGAGTATATCCAAAGACAATGAGATAGCTGCAGCAGAAACTTTACCGTCAGAACTCACTTAGTTCACGTGCAGACATGTATAAATGCAAATTATCTATTAAACCCAATAAAATATGAACAACTTATATCTCATAATAATGCAACTCTATTTGTACCATGTCACTAATTTTAAGAGAAGGATATTACTGTATTCTATTCTGTGCACAACGACCGCAGCCTACGTTTGCTATTACTAAAACGCTCAGTGACTGAGCCTGCTTGGTTGTGGACCGGGCACCTTTTGCCAATCCCTCGCAGCAGTTAGAGGAGACCTATCCCTCTTCTACAGACTTCATGTTACACAATGACATGAACAACTTAATGCGAAGTTGCCAAAATTGCCCTTAAAGGAGTCTGATGAACGAAGCTGCTTTCAGCTATTTCTGTTCCCAGCATCACCCCTGCACTAAAGAATGATGCTGAAAATGATTCAGCGCACACTGCTACTTCGGGGAAGCTGATGAGAAGTCAGTTCGGTGGAGGCTCAGGGACCAATATAGATTCCCTGACCTAATTCATACGAGTTGTAATTTGCTGCCGTCTCGGTAACCAGAGAAAGAGTTCAGGATTCTGTATCACCAGTCTCTCACACCCCTCAGACACGTCCCACATCTCCTGGACAACCTCTCTTCCAGTGGCAGAGTGTCCTGAGCTCATGCTGCTGTCACTGTGAATTAGTGCTGACACAGACCATCATAGCCACACTGCATGACAACAGGTATCGTGGGCAGAAAGTGCTGTGGTCACTACATTTTTTAACACCTTTGCAGAAACAGCAAGGCCAATTCCCAAGTACTGAAAGTTTTTAAAGAACTCTTATTCTTTTTTTCTTTTCTTTTTTTTTTGAGAGGTTTTTGCTATAGGGTGCATGTGCTCGCCAGACAGAGAGAGACAGAGAGACAGAAAGTGAGAAATCACCCCCCAGAGGGGATGGCCACGCCTCAATCCCTTCTCCTCCATTCTCCTCTCGGGATCTTGGGCGCACACGCACACGTGCCCAGGTGAGTTTAAGCCACCGGGTCCGGGATGTGAACCGCGATCGACTACGTGGGAGTCCAGCGACATAGCCATTACACTAACTGCTGGTCCAAGAAATCTTATTCTTAAAAAGCAATATAAGAGAGAGAACTTCATCTTAGAACAGGCTGACATTTTACTAAAAAGGCAGAAAAATTGCTGTCATCAGCAGTATGTGCTTGTTAGTTAATACAGTTCCTCTGAAGAGAACAAACGTGTTCCTCTCTTCTAGGAAGAGTTCCCGGATTTCTCCCTCTCATAAATCCCCGGCCAGCGATTGGTCTGTTACCTCCTTCAGATCCTGCACGACAGCTGTGAGCCTCTCATTTTCTGCCTGCACGTTCGTGACCACGGCCCGGCTCTGCTTCAGCTCGTTCTGCATCTCCAAGATCTTCCCCAGGTAGTAAGCTTCCTTCGACGCCGACTCCTGCAGAAGCGTTTCCTCCCGCGTCTCTCCATCCTCAGCAACTTTCCGGTGGATGGAGAAGGACTGCCCAAATGCCTGCAGAGTATTCAGAAAGAAAAAGAGTGTACACTGAAATGCCATAGTGCTATCAGACAGACCTGGGAAGATGTTTTTGCTCTGTGTGTAAGAAAAGCTTCTCTGTTGGACCTCAGCATTTAAAAATACATATTTCGGGGCTGGCAGGTGGCGTGGTGGTTAGGGTGCTGGAATCCCACATCGCCGACCATGGTTTGAGTCCCAGACCTGGTGGATTGCTTTCTTACTTTCTATTTCCCTCTCTCTCTTTCTCAA